GAGCAAAATTTGTATCTCATTTCTAGAAAACAATCTCAGAATCTTAAGAGATACTTGATGAGAACTCATTTTCACGAAGGAAATGCCTGAATACTTGCAGAATCGAGTGAAGACGACGACAATCCGATAACAGTGCGTTTCAAGTGTCGACGTAATGGTTGCTGTGATCAGCATGAGTGGTGCAGATTCTGGGCATCCGTTGGTGAATGTATTACAAATAAGGACTGGATGGAGGATAATTGCCAGCTGGCGTGTAACACGTGCAAACGACCATGTTAGTACGAGTTAATCGTTCCACCAGAACATTCTCATTTGATCCCTGATGATACTATTTCAATCTCCTAAATTTTTATCATATCCGTTTCAAAATCCCTCCTGTACGTTCCATTTTTATCACAAGCCTCCAGAATTTGCCCATTTTTATGCTCAGAAGGTCAAGAGAAATTTCGTGAATTCGTGAAAAATTATTTAGTTTCCATTAAAAGGAAAGATTACGTGCCTATTGCCTATTTTTGACACCGCATTTGTTAATAACTTTTTTCGTTAGCAATTTTCTTCCAGTGGAAGAACTCATTTTTCTTTTACACGATATGTTGAGTGGGTATTTCCCATTGTTATCCCGCTAAAACTTGTAGATTTTCACAGATTTCACAGAATTTTTCGACACTTCAACACAAAATTTCCTTCTAATCCAGTTGCCCTTCAAGGTCAAAAAGTGATTTGGCGAAAAAATTACATAAAACTCCGGAAATTCGATTGTTTTTCTGGTAACTAGACACAAAGAATTTCGTAGTTAGTGAAAATGGTCAAAATTGATAAGATTCCCAAGTTTGATTGATAGACCAAAACAGCAGGAGGGAATGTTTAACACACTGAGCGATTTAGCGATTTAACGGCGTTGAATGCTTTGAAGAGCACATCAATCACATCAATCGAGGGATTCTTTTTTCCAAGGAACTCTTATTTTCGACAAATCATCATGCTTTGGATCACAGTATATCTGGAGGAATTTCCTTGATTCATTTCATCATGTACTATGTCATTGTCTCTGTCCAGAATTTACTTTTTCTTAAGCAAACTCCTCTCTAATCGTACGAGTATTCTATCTGCTGAAATTCTGTAGAATAGTTTATAATATCCCAAAATTCTTGCTTTTGATAACCTCTCTTAGACGTTTCGGGTCCAAATGTCTTGACTTAACAAGTTTATCGTCATTGCTGGAAACTAGAAATTCTAATTGAATTTCATGAGTTGAAATGAAAATTTAGAGATCGTTGGAATAAGTAGCAGTTTGTTAAGTTGTTGATAGTGCTAGTACTACTTCAAATAACTTGAGACTTCAAAAATTGTTGCATTGAATTCGAATTTTATCGTTTTATTCAGTCAAATACAGTGTAACTTAAAACATTTGCATTGATCCTTATATCGTGATGAACAACTACTAGTTAGTTCCACCACTGTATGTCGTTATTCTTCTTCAGATTTTTGTTTCTAGTTTTGGAACAGTGGCAAGAAGTAAGTAGTGCCTTTATGTCTCGATTAGAAATTCACTGAAAATTGCAAAATTGCAAAAACTTCGAAAAAAATTCAGAAAACGGACAGATGAAGACCTTGAAATGATCACCTATGAAAGGTCGCTCGTTTTTTTCAATGAAAAGTTGCGTGATCTAGTGTAAATCCAATTGATCTCTTTTGTGAACATTCACAAATAGTTAGTTAACATGTTACGGGGTTTCCTTCTGCTTTTTTTGCTATCTTTTTTAGTCTTTTAGAAGAGAGGAACGGTGGATTAATGATAAATCTGAAAAAAGATTATGGGTGAATGGAATTGCAGATAGCGAGGACAAGTAGACTGTGGTGATGAGATCTTGTATGTGTGGAATTATGAATGGTTGAAATCTTGTTNTCTCTTGATCACTAGAAGATGGGCGCAGAAAAGAGCACTAATAATAATGATAATAGTCAGAGGAGAATAAAAGTGTAGGAACATTTGGAATTAGAGAGTATGAAAATTTACGAATGAGATTGCGATGGTTCGTCGAAATAACTAGCAGAAAAGAGATGGATATGAGAGAACTGGGATGAGAGGTTTTTGAGATGTTTTTGGATTAGCTGAACGGGCTGGAAGCTGTTTTAATGAGACAAGAGGGATAACAGGACTAAAAACATGAGATCTGATTGAATTGGATGGAATCGGGCTTTGAGCCACTTGAATGTAGCCGACAGGTATGGAAAATGATTAGCTGAAACGTGAAGTGATGTTTCATGAGACCGTATTTGAAAATTAGTGATCGTTAATTGCTTGAAGTATGTGAGGATTTGAGATTTGAAGATTGTTCTGATTGGTTTATAAATGATCAACAAATGATCAAAATCAATATAAATGATCAAAAAATTCATCAAGAGACTTATAACTTGAACAGTCGCTTGAATAATCTCACACTCAAATAAATGGTAATGATGAGACAAATAAGATGTCGAAATTGCGATTGAAGGGCTGAGTCAGTGCAATAATCTCAATGTATAATGCTCGATAAGACTTGAATGAATAAGTGTATTTCAGCGGTCACGAAACGTACAAAACTGCGAAATCCATCAAGGCGTGTCCGTCCACCGCATCGTGTCCCACCCAAGCACCGACGTCCCAGTGCAAGCAGGTTCCGCTTTCAACTCACGACTTCTTTGCTTGCCGAATTTTCGCTTCGGCCATAAATGGTCATTGGCCAATGTGAAGGGAATGAGAATCTGAAGAAAGTAATCAAGAAGTTGATCTAGAGAGATCAAATTCATGCAAATCAAATAAGTCAAAGAAATCAGAAGGATGAACCAACCAATCATCTTCGTAATGAATTTCTGATGAATTTCTGTTGGTGTGCTGCTCGGAAGATCAATCTTATAATTTGATCAGAGTTCACAAATGTCAAAAATATTTGGCCAATTGCAGGCGACCACCGCAAATGATTCGAACCCGTGTTCGAGTCACTCGTCCTCCGGCCGTCACCCAGCAAACGCAGTTTTTCGCCACCCAGCAAACATCGTTCACAAGACCGCAAACCGTGCTCACCGCTCGTCTAACGCCCCTACAACGATGCAAACAAATTCAGGCTGACCCATCGATTGCCGCAGAACTCCTCATTCGAGAACGTCTCGTATTTCCGACTGAAGGTCTGACTTTGTTAGCCTTCATGATGAACTCTTTGGCTCGGAACTATTCAATCTCTCCAATTAGAATATTGAAAACCTATGGG